CTTCTGAATTCAGGTGCTGTTTTCTGCCCATCTTTCTCCTCCTACGCCTTCCCGCACATTTTCCCTTGACAGGAATCTAAGTTTGTTTCCTAGACTTCTCCAGTTCTTCCGTAGCCATTTCTTTCTGGGTTTTAATCCTTTGCAGTCACTTTTCAAAACTCAAATGTATTATTTTTTCCCGGTAGAGGTTAAACTCTGCTTTGGAGGAAGGGAGAATATGTTTATTTTTTTCACTCAGAGTTGACTTTGGATCTGTGCTTCAAAAATTATGGTTAGAAATTTGGGAAAGCTGCCTTTTGATGTATGAGAAATACTGTATAACTGAAAACTTCTGCTCTGTGGCATTTTCTGAATTATATAGTTGATATAGATTATTATTTTTTTTTACCTGCATGTTTCTTGTAAGAGAAAGTTAAAAGTCTTCTTGTTATTGTCCTGACTTCAGGAAATGGATTGTTGTTTTATTGATGCTGGATGGTGACAGAACATGTCAAAAGTCACACTTATTTTCCGCTTTTAAAATCTAGCGGAAAAGATTGAATTTAAATGTAGTTTAGGAAGAAGTGGATTTTAAATTTTTTTTAAATCTTATCATAGTTTTCTGAATAACATGTTGAATAATTGATTTCAAGACAGTATAGCCTTTTTTAGTTTGTTGAATAGGCACACTGTTTGGATTGATTGATTATGTGAGTAGGAAACATACAGATTCCTTACTTTTGAAGAACCACCTCTCTGTGCTGGTCAACAACTGAGAGTATAGCTTGCTTTCGTCCTTGTAGGCACCTGGCAGGCACCTGAGCCTCAGCAGTTACAGGGTGCTCCCTTTGGCTAATAGAACAGCGATCGTTCTGGTTAGCTGAGCCACCTGGCAGGAAAGCACCACCGTGCTCTATTGAAGTAACCTGTTCTGGAGATGGTCGGAGCATGTGTAATTGGCTAGCTTTGTGATAACCAAATCCGGAGGGCCATGGGGAAGGTACTTCTGGAGGTAACTTCTCCTTTCAGGATGCCAGAGTAAGTCAGGTTCATGGGTTCGCAGCATCACAGAATAGTTGAGGTTGGAAGCCTCTGGAGATCATCTGGTTCGCCTTCCCTGCTCAGAGCAGGGTAACTAGAGTAGATTACCCAGGACCATGTTAAAAAAAATGTTTCCTTCTGTTCAGATGGAATTTTGTGGCTTTTAAACTTATGCCCGTTGCCTCTTGTCCTGTCACTGGGCACCGCTGAGGAGAGCGTGGCTCAGTCTTCTCTACTGTCCGTTCAGATATTTATCAGGCTAAATGGTCCCAGCTCTCTCACTGTCCTCTTATGAGAAATGCTGCACTCCCTTAATTATCTTTGTGACCCTTTACTGGACTTTCTCATAGAATCGAAGAATATCTGAAGTTGGAAGGGACCCATAAGGATCATTGAGTCCATCTCCCTGCTCCTTGCAGGCCTACCTAAAAGTAAACCATATGACTTAAGAGCGTCATCCAGGTGCTCCGTGAACTCTGACAGGCTTGGTGCCATCTCAGTGAGCATCTCCGAGCACCCTCTCAGTGAAGAACCTTTTTTTTAATGCCCGATTCTCCAGTATGTCCACAACTCCCTTGTACTGGGGAGCCCAGAACTGGACACAGTGCTCCAGCTATGTCCCACCAGTGCTGAGCAGCGGGCAAGGATCACCTCCCTCGTCCCACTGGCAGCAGTCCTAATGCAGCCCAGGATGCTGTTGGCCTTTTTTGCTGCAAGGGCACGTTGCTGGCTCATGGTCAATTTGGTGGCCACCAGGATCCCTTGAGCCCCTTTTCTGCCAAGCTGCTTTCCAGCTGCTCGGTCCCCAGGATGTACTGGTGCACGGAGTTCTTCCCCGGGTGCAGGGCTTTGCACTTGCCCACGTGGAACTTCATGAGGTTCCTGTCAGCCCATTTCTCCAGCCTGTCCAGGTCCGTCTGGATGGCAGCACGACCCTCTGGTGTATCAGCCGCACCTTCCCGTTTTGTATCATCAGCAAACTTGCTGAGTGTACCCTCTGCCCCACCATCCAGATCATTAATGAAGAGGTTGAACATGATTATTGGGCTTATTTCAGATTTGGTTTTCATATCACGTACAGTATTTTATGGTGTATTTATTTATCACTTTTGATTGTGTCCAGGAATGTTATTGCACATTTTGCTGCTAGGACGATATTTCTGCTTTTTAAGGGTGTGTTCTCACTTTATCAGCAATGTGTTAGAAGCCTTCTAGCCACCTTCTCTTTGTGACATTTTCTATTGCAATATTTCCCCCTCACCTTCTGCAACTTGCTTTGCACTTCAAGACAAAAGGTTCAAGTCTGATTCCCTTTGGAAACTAAGCTGTATGAGTAAATACTACTATTTTTTCTTCTAATGTGTATATTTTGCAGGAAATGCTGTTTTAAAAAAGAAAACATCCTGTATATAAACACCCTTCTGTCTTCATTTTCAGGGTTTACTTCTGTGCCAGTGAAAGGAAGCTGCTGTTCGTATTCTAGCCTGGCGTGGGCTTTCCAGACGCGGTGTTCTATCTCTGCCCCCTGGACTACGACAGTTGAGCAATGCAGACAAAGCAGTTTCTTCAATAGGTGTAAGTTTTGAGTTGGATTAAAGTTATTATCTGTAATAACCAGAAGATGAAAATAAAATCTTGCTTTAGAGAGATACCGTCATGAAAATCTATGTATAGTAGATGTCCTGTACACAGCCGCTGAGTGAGAAGGCCTGACCAAAGCCTGAGCCCCGTGATGAGGCTGTTTGAAGTGTCTTACATTCCGTCCTCCTTACATTCCTTTGCATTTATACAGGCAATAAGGGGGACTTTGTATTTTGTCAGAGCATGAGAACAGCAGCAGGTTTATGTTGTTGGTCAACTTTTTGCATTTTGTGGCTTTTTAAAGCAGGCTAACCCTTGGATATTTTCAGGAGTAATTCAAGTTGCCTGTCATTGATATTTGTCCTTGGATAAGTACTTACAGGTATTGCTGCTTTAGGCTACTGATGAATTATTTTCTTGTCATCACCTGGGAATTAATACCTCACTGGTTGGGAATATTTGCCTTTAAATCTTTTTAAAAAACCTTTTTAAAAACTATGCATGTGGCTGTGTGCCTATCTCACTGCAATCATCAGGAGTAGAGGCACATCTCTGCACCAGATACATATACACCTAGTAGGAAATCACTTTCTTAGCAAGGCAATAATCCTACAGTTTAAATCCCAGCAAAGATCAAGCAAGGGTTAACATTTCAAGTTGGATTTTTTTGTTCAGCTTCGGTTTCCAATATAAGCTGTACTTACACATTACTTACGAAAGCTTTTCTATTTCAGTGACAGCTGATGAGCTATGGAAAGGAGCTTTGGCAGAGACTGGTGTGGGGGTAAAGAAAGGAAGAGGAAAGAGAAGGAAGAAAAAGCTAAGGAAGAATCTCAATAAAGGCCAGGAGATTGGTGAAGGTAGATTCACAAAAAAGGGGATGAAGATATGTCGTGACCTTTTCATGTATAGTGTTTCGTGATTTAATAAAATGACAAATTGCTGTTAATGTCTGTGGCGTCAGAACTGCTTGAGATATTTTTGTCTTTTAAACAAAATCCTGATATGATTGTTTAATGTTATTCTTGGATTTTAAATATACATTGTGTATCATAAAGTGCCCTTGAAATATGTGAGAACCTTCCCTTTTATTGCATTTTTCCGGTGTGCGGAGTTTCAGTCCTAATCTGGCATAAAACGTAATTTTTCTCTGTTATTTTTAAGGACGTTCTGGTTTCCTCTGGCCTGGTCTTAATACTCCTGTGATACAAAGTGGGAAAGTCCAGGCGGTTACCCAACGAAAAAAAGAAGAACAAGAGAGAATTCACTCTGAAATTGTTCAGCAGAGAGATACATGGGAGAAGAAAAGAAAAATAAAAGTTAAGAGAGAGGGAGGATGGAGTGGAAAGTGTTGGGGAGGTGTCATTCTGGATCCTCCTGACCCAGGCCCTAATGGAGGTAAGAAAACTCATTATCTATCTTAGTCTTACTTAGCCTTTCTGATAAGGGACTCAGAGAAAGTGAGATCGAGACTTTTCCTGTGATTGAAAAGCAATTTTATACTTGTCTCTTACATGCCCATACATGACGCAAGGCAGCTAAATCAAAGAAGAAGTTGTGTTAACACAGGTGAAATTTGTTAAACCACTGCTTAGTTTAATATAGCTGTTAGAGTACTGTATTATGGTATAGACAGTATGATGTTATACTGTGTTATGTTGTAGACTGTTGTAGGAGTCTTGAAGTATGGAAATACTTTTCTGTGTTCAGCATCAATTGTATTGAGTATGAAGTACAGCCATGGGTTTTTTTAATAGTTTCTTAAAGGATCCTGTGGGGTAAATCAGGCTTTTCTATAGGTCAAATAGTGAAATATGGTTAGAGATGAAGTAGTTTGAATGTAGCTAATAGCAGTTATTTATTTATTTATTTGCTGCCTGGTTAAATATCATCGTGAAACTGGAGATCCTGTACGCAGGGTGGAGAGGTGACCTTAACGTTTTTTACAGTGCTGTTATTCAGACCACTAGAAATTCTGTAGTAGCTTTGTTTAGCATTTAGAAGCCTAACCCTTTTCAACTAATTAAGTATGAGTAACAGCTCATTTTCTTATTTGGCTGAAATCTTCTTGTGAAGCACTTAATGATGCTTGTATGTTTATTACCTTTCTGTAGGCTTTTGTAGTGAGATGAGCTAAGAAAGGCACTTGATGTTTTCTAGCGCTGTTGTTTCAGGCTTGTTGCGGTCATTCTAAGGGTTAAGCTTGTTCATGTTTTCAGAGCTGTCTTTGTCCAGGAACACGTTCTCCCAGCACAAGCTTGGATCTTGGAATGTATGTTGCAGCAGGTCAACATAAATGGGAAATTACATGCACGGGATCACAATTATATTGCTGTCTGATCTCCTTGCAGTCACCTTTGCTCCCCAGTCTGCCTGGTGCTTTGTTTATTAATTTCTTTCTGTCTGTGAATATTTTCTGGTGACATTCTGTCGGACGTTAATTAAAAATTCGGACGTGCTCTGAACCAAGCCATAAGGTAGTGAGAGCATCGTCTTTCCAGTGTGATCTAATGCCTTTGTCTGTGTAGATTGAGGTTACACTCGCGTTTTTGTAGCTCTCTGCCTTATAAATTCATGCCATTGTTGCTATCTCCTGCTTCTCTGTTCCCTTCCCAGGTTTCCCGTTCCTGTAACTGGTATAGATCATTTTGTGGCTTCTGTTGCTGCAGGTCTGAGATGTATTGTTTCCCTCAGATTTACCTTGTGAATTTGAGAGCTTGCCTCCCGATCTCTTCGAGTATTTTTTTTTGTTGTCTTCAATTTTAAGAGCAGTCGATTCTGTTTTAATATCGACACAATACTGCAGTATACCAATGAAAGATTCCTTTTTATATTTACTTCCCTGTGTTTCATTTCATTACTTTGAAAGCGTATATTCTGTGGAAGGCAGTGACATGACAATGGACTTGGCAGACTGTCACTGAATCTTACGACTGAAAAATAGAAGATTTGAGAAATTAATGAATTGTTCCAAATTCCCCATAAGTCAGTAGTGGAATAAGACGTCAAGAAAATTTCATGGTTCTAGTTCCATACTTTGATCACAAGACTATGTTGTTTGTAAATTCAAATATATTTTCAAGTAGTTTATTCCGCTAAAAGAAGTGGCAGCTGTTGCAAACAACACTTATGCATGTATGAATTTTACCTTCCGGTGTTCTCCTTGATTTTACTTCTGGCTGATACTATTGATGTTGATTACTTGCATTAAGGTTGGCTGTGTGGTGGCTGTAGTAGTCAGGTCAAGCTCTGCCAAAAAGAGGAAAGGGTACTACAATCAAAATAGGAAAATGAAACTGTCAGCTTGTATTGTAAAAGTGCTTGAGAAAAAGCAGGTTCTGATTGGTATACACTAATTTCCTTTCACTCTGTTGAAAACTGCAGGGATTTTCAGGTCCCCATAGTTCTTTCAGCATCTTTTTAATCTTTTTATTCAGAAGATTAGTGATTTTGCAGGGGAACTGGGACATTGGCTGTGCCCAAAGCACTGCCAAGGTGGTTGGAGGAATAGACCTGAGACTGCCAAACCCAATGGATCCCTCTGTCCTGAGAGTACGGCGTGGCTGGATTCCCTGCTCTTTTTTTTGAATGAGTTCTGACTGAGGTTCTGCAGTTCAGCCCTTCCTAGGATTCTGGTATTGGATTCTCTAGTAACAAACAGAGGCTGAGCATATGCTGCAGCTTCCCTTCAGCAGCATTCATATTTTCTAACGAAAACAGGGACAGGGAGTTTGTAGAAACCTCCATGTTGCTAGTCTTCAACATCTGACAGATTTGGTTGGAATTGACAAATGCATTTAAAAAAATAAATAAATAAATTGGGGGCATACTGTCATTGTATATGCTTCGTCCTTTCAGGGGGATCTTCTTTCACTATGCCTTTACTTATTGTGCTAGCCATGAGTAGAGAAAGAATAGTATTTTTCAGTTGGAAATAAAATTATTTTTCTTCCAAGTTTACGGTGTTTCTTTGCAACTGAAGAGGCTTCAGAGAGGGAACAGAGTGCCTGTTGGCATTCGTATCCTCTGCTGTGAGCTTGAGGTCTACTTCTTGTAGACTGACATATCTCTAAATTGTGCTGAGATGATCATGTTTATAATCACCTTGGAGGTTAGGTGTAAATGACAAAGCAATGTTTGGTGAAGGAACGAGTCCCCAGTTCTTCACCATTATACTGTTTTCAGCTTTTCTGCAGAATCTCACTATAACTACACCAAGTAAGTATTAGGTGCTTTAATTAACACTAGTCTTCTACATTGTACTGAAATGCTCTTGTTCATGAGATAAATTGGAAAAGCAGGAGGTTGGAAGGATCTCTTACCTATTCTGCTTCTTATACCAAGACGTTGCATTTTATTCCATTGTCTATTGTTTTCAGAGTCGGTAGGTTTTTTTCCCACAGCTAAGCTGATAATAGGATACTTGTTGTGGGAAAATGTATCTGTATTAAAATGTAGATCAATTATAAGTATGCTCTCAATTGCATAAAAGGAAAGAAATATATGTGTAATCTATATGCAGGTGTTTGTGTGGTGGTCAGGTTTCAAAACAGAAACTCGGAGGAAATGGGTCCTTTTTGGCAGTACCTGTGGTTTGCAGCATTTTTGCCTGCTTCTGTAAAGTGGATTTTGAGAAGCACTGGTGGGACTGCTGAAAGCCAAGCCTCAGGGCTTTGCTTGCTGACTTTGCTGCCGCGTGTGTCAGGGTGAAGGCCTGTGGATGAGGTCTGACTGGGCTGCAGTTTGGGTGGGTTTGTGCTCTCTCATTTGAGGTCCTCTCTTTGGAGGCAGTAGGTGCGGATGTCCCTGTGGTGCCCAGAGCTCTCCAGTATTCTTGCTCTTTCTCCCCCCACAATGTAGTAAGGCGTTTCAAAACCACCGTACTTCAAAGAAGTCCCTTCTGATGACAGAGCAAAAACTAACTTTCTGTGCGGTGAAAAGGATGTGTTTGCCGCTTAGAGCTGAATACGTGATGTTCACCTGAACAGAGCTCTGTCTTCAGTGTTGCATCGCCACTGTGATGAGAAGACTTGAACACAGATGTGACACAGAAGTGAGCTTTATTTTACAATGCAAAACACCTTACCTGTTACCAGACCCAATAAATGATGCTGTAATTGTCTTTGATTGGAAAGACAGTTTTTCAGGCAGAATTTGAAATTGAAAGAGAAATCTGCCCATGTGATTCTCGATTATTTGAAGTCACTATGTATTGTTTTGTTTTATCCCCCTCCCCTTTATGGAATTTCAGAGAAATACGTATTAAGAAATACTTGCAATTTCTTTGAATCCCTGTTGCTTGTATAATAGAAGTTTCAGAATGTTCTGAACAATATTGGATAATAGTTTGGCCATGATGAAAGTGACCCATTTGGTGATTTACCTTTTTTTTTTTTTTAACCATTTAGAGCTTTTTCTGAGTGTATATGAGATTTGAGGTTCATTTTCAGTTTTAGAGCAGTATTTAGGGAAGAAGGCGGTTCCTTCCTTTGTGCTACTCTGGTTATTTAGGTTGGACAGTCTTTGGAGACTGTTTGCATCTTACTTCCTGGCATGTACGATACTTAAAAAGATGAGGTATTGATTGTAGTTGGAGGTTGGGGTCCTTAACAGAGCACAACGAATGTATTTAACAGTTGTTATCTCTTAATTATAACAAGAGCTGTATTGTAATTATAATGAGTAGTATTACACTTTCTGGGAAGTTATCATTTTAACTGGATTATTTTTTTAATCTATTTTTTTCATATAAGTTGATTTTACTGAAGAAATGAAAAAAAACCTATGCTCTATGAATAAGAGCTATATGCTGTTTTTTCACTGACCTTCTTCTAAGAGACTTCAGTCAATCCAGTCAAAAAAACATTTGAGGCCTTTTTAAAAGGAAGCAACTCATAAAGCTCACTTTAGATAGGTCTGTTCAAATTATTCTTGCCTTTTCTACTTACAGCTGAGATTTATGTAACTGTAATTTATAAATTAAAATGGGGTGCTTTTTAAGTCGTAGCAGCTCGAGGGAGCTGTGCTGGTGGGTAAAGCAACTCAAGGAAATATAATGCCTTATTTTTCTCCCGCAGAAACATACGAAGATTTTGAAACAAGAGTCATTGAGGTAAGGTTACAAATCTCTTCAAGGACTTTAAATAATTATCACTGTTTTATAATGAGCTTGCAATTATTTAACCAGCGTTGCTAAGTCAGTCTTACAGCAATAGGAGTTAGTGTGGTATTGTGCTTCAGCTGCATGACATCATCTGTCGTTCTTTTCATTGGGGCCTTATCTTCTCCGTTGAGCAAATAATACCTAATTCAGCGGTGGGTTTGAGTGACTGAAATGGCAAATGCCTGCAGATAAAGCTTCAGTAGTTCACATACAACCGTGATGGGGAACCTAGTAAAGTGTTAGGGTTATTTCTCAGCTGAACTGCGAATAGGAAGTTGTATCACTCTGCTTGTAAAATAAATAACTAATTGAAGGGGGGGGGGCAGCGGCACAGGGCAGAGAGTGAGGAGAATGAAGACCCCATTTTGTGTGCCTCTCAAGTAATAAAATACTCACTTGTCCTAGATGTCTTAACCTGTGATATTTGTATCTTCTCGGAAAAAATATTCTGACAAAATTTCCCAGTCATAGTTTTATATCCGCTTTGTTATTGTGCTTATTGACAGAGTAAGGATGATGGTTATGACTAGACTAATGCAAGTCTTGTTTCCACCCTCATTTCTAAACAGATTATATTGCATCATCTCACTTAAAAAATATCTATTAATCAAAACTAGTAACTGGTCAAAGATGTCTGTGTTTCCATATTTTCCTTGTCTGTTTTTTAGTAAATAAGATCTAATATGTGCTGTAAATCCTGCTACCTTTATTTGCAAGTAATAAGGTTGTCTCCCGTGTGCTTATGTCGCAAACTTTATCCTGGTTGGACATCATGGAATTATTCTCTGTACTCTTGAACTCTGTGACTGACTGAGTAGGGCTTCTTAATGGAAGTGTGGAATATTTTAAAAAGCAGCATGTGTGCTGAGATGCATTCTGCGAGTCCTAGGTATTTAATGATATCAGTGAATTGCCTTAAAATAATTTTGTTGTGGTAAGTAAATATTTTTAAATCTCTGTAGCTTCTTAAATCTCTTACGTTTCATGACATTGCCACCTTTTTCAGACATACAGTAACTTTCCAATGTATAACTGGTTGTATGCAATCCTTTGGTTGGTGTGAAGCGATGTTAGCCAACTACTAAATCCCTGTCAGTCAGGGTGTTTGCTGACTGATAGCAGAACTTGAAGCTAAAGGGTAAAGACCTTAACGGTGCCAAAAGAAAGTTCTTTAGTGACTCAAATTCTCAATGATTTCAACAGAAATGCCACTCAGACTGTGGTCAGAGAAGATACTAATTTCAAATATGATAAAGGTGGATTATGCTTTGAAAACAAGGTAATCCATCAGTAATAATTTTTTGCTGGTGAAATGTAGAGTGTTCGTAGTGCAGATATGTGGACCCATGTTACTTCTCAATGGAAAAGCCATTACTGAAGAAGGCAACTTGCGACTCATTCCAAAGCAGACCATTAACGATTAGTGCTACACACCCCCACGCTATTGCAAGGTATTTTATGCTTCCCATTTATCTCACTATTTTTCTTTCATTTCAAATACATTAGTCGCTATGGAAACCGTAGAACTAGTATAAGCATTGTTGGGGGGAATCATGACTTCAGAAATAAATTGATTTCTTGTGAGTCACTTGCTCCCAGTCCAGAATCAGATGATGCACAGCATCCAGAAAGGGAGCAGCTCTGGAAGTGAGCACAATTATTTGCTCTCGGTCATTGCATGTTCCCTTCTCTTCTACTCGCGTTATAATTTTAGTGAGACGTGTGGTAGCAGTGGCTAAGCCATTTCCAACTCCATGTCCAGAAGTTTGTGTTTTAGACAACTGAAATCTCAAGCTTATTTATTTATTTGACTACGTAATTTGTTAGGACTTGATATTTGCTAAAATGGTTGATCCATTAGAAAGCAAAACCCTCTACGGTGTGGCGGATGGACGACTTCCAGCTGGGGGCATCAGAAAGCCCCCAGGTAAGATTTTGCCAAATCTTTCTTGTTCATAAGTATTGATCATATTGGTGAAGGAGGAAGGGCTGGGAGAAATTCAGTGTTACTTGCAGCGCTTTTTGCTGGGGTGCGATCTTGGAGCCACGTTCAGCTCCTTGTGCCCTGAAGCCCACCTCGCCAGCCTGAGGAGCCCTGCAGAGCAGGGAACGTGCCTGTCCATCCAGATCTCTCTGTAAAGCCTCTCACCCTCGAGGGAGTCCACAGCTCCTCCTAATGAAGTATCATCAGCAAACTTACTTAATGTACATTCAACTCCTGCATCCAGATCACTTATAAAAACATTACCAGTCAGTAATCTAGACCATATATATATATATATGTATATATATATGATCTGCAGCAGCTGAACTGTTCACTTTCTGTATCAGATGCGTTTGAGAGCAATGCTGTCCTGTTGGAACTTCCAAAGGCTCTAACGAATGTCCTGCCCGAGTTAAAATTATATTTCCTTCCTTCTCCTCATTTCTGGAGTCCCCTCTCCCCCTGAGTGTAATGAATCCCTCCATCACCAAGCTCATGTTTCTGCCTCATGTTCTGCTTGCCCTGAAACAGCATTATGCAGAAATTGTCTCAGATGTCTCCGCTACTTGGTAGTGCTCTTTTATGGTGATGATGGTGTTGACAAAATCACTTTCCAATATCTGCTGCTCAGAGTGATAACAGCATTGCAAATGAAAAGTAGGGGGGTTTTGTCAGTCATCTTTAAACATTTTTATAGGCCTTTCTTTGCCTTGGTGCCTGAGCCATTTTCTTCCTGAATTAAGTCCTCATCATTTTTTTTCATTTTTAATTTTTCAGTATTCCAGCACTTGGAGTAAGATGAATATTTGTAGGGTCCCTTCTGTTATCTTAAAGCTATTTTAATTCTTTGGATATGATCACTGTTTATTTTAAAACTAAATTGCTGTTTAAGATCAACTTTGAGTTTTCAGAGTCTTCAACAGAATGTGTGGAGTGGTACTGGTATGTACAAGAACAAATAAAATTAAATTTAGTTTAGTGAAGGATATCTTTTCCGTTAATGAGTGTATTCAGTCTAAATCTTAAGATAACATTTATCAAAGGATCTGACCTTCACTGGCAGTTCATATTTAGTGCTCTGTATGTCATGTATATCTAAGCATACATGAATAGAAGCCTATACAAATGAGTTCGGTATCAAGATTTTTTTCTATTTTCTCAAGTATCTCTAATACATTCTTGTTGGATTTGTCACTGTGCCTAGAGATGATAGAAAATAAGATGAGTAGCAAACTTGCACTTAATGTCACAGGTGGTTTGTTGCAATAGTAAATGGGTTACATGCTTTTATACCTTAATGCATATGCTGGTGTGCATATGTTTAGACTTCCCCAAAACGGCGTTTAAAGGATGGTGTTATTGGGAAAACAGCTCATCTGATCCATTTCCATACCAAATTCCCATTCAATAGTATTTTAGGCATTATGTTGAGAATGATAAATGCAAAAATGAACGTTTACATGAGCATTAATGAGGTGTCCTGAATTGCACCGTAGACTTTTTATGCATTCTTATTTTAACATGCAAAATTAATCTGTTATTCTCAGGTTTAAAACCACACATGTGTGGTTTCATTTGAGTCGCTGAAGAATCAGAAAAACCTTCTGTATTATTTTTAGTTCCTCTTGGATCAGGAGTAACTGTACACACAGTAGAGTGGTGTGGTGGATTTTGGAAAACTTGTTAAACTTGTGATTTGTTAAAAGATGTTAACTTTGGAAAATGTGTTATTTGTTAAAGGTCCTTTAAGTAAGTGAGTTTTTGGAATGGACTGGGCACTATGGGCTCTCACTGTGATGTAGCAAAGGCCATTTGGACCACTTAGCCTTTAGCTGTGTCTGTATTGGAAGGCAACTTGTAATAGTCGAGTTGCATGGGCACCGCTCATAAAAGAAGTGATTTTTCTTAATCAGCCCTGCAGTTGGCAGTGCTTTCACTTAGTTGAAAGAGCACATGTCAGAGAAGTGGCTGTTGTTTTGTTACTCTGACGGGTCAGAACTCTCAGTTTGGATACTACAGTAGGGATTTACTAAACTTGGCCATTCTGTGCTGGCATAATTATTTACAGTCAAATTCATTAGATTAAACAACAAGATAAGTTGCTATGCAATGCTTCCATGTGCTGTAGAAATCTGTTCCAATGCTTTATTATATCTGAATAATAATAAAGCTTTTAGAAGCAGACTGGGTCTCTACTGTTGTATAAGGCTGCCACAGATGTGAACTGAAAAAGAGGAGTGGTTTTTGCAGAAGAATAGCAGCAGCAGCAAAAACTTCTGTATTCAAAGCCAGCGGTGAGCCCAAGATAATTGAGTCCCATAATTTTCTGATAACAAGTACGAGTTTTGAAATAAACAGATCTTTTTTAGCATTCTTATTTTAAATGGATGGTATACATGGTGCCGTTTCTGTGTGTCTTTTCCATTATCTTCACAACAGTGCAGGAGATTAATGTTTGCTGGGAAATTATACTTTGCAGCAAGAAACTGAAAGCCATTTTTAAAGGACTGCCTTATGGACAAAGATACAAAAGCCCCTTTCTGTTTTGATTACGCTACTAAAAAGGCTGTGCTCCCTTGCTAAAAGAGAAAAATTGCTTATTAAAGTGTTTTGTTACAACATAGAAACAGAAAAACTAACTCGATTTTTCCCTGCTTGTAAAATAGAGCACAGACAAGGTCAGATTTTCATGTAAACTAGAGAAAAAGCAAGCTTGAGTGTTAAGGGATAGCAGCGGGGACTGCATGTTGGTTTTGTTCCTGGCTTTCCTATAGACTGTTGCGTTACTTAGAGTAGGTGACTTGGGCTACCTGTTTCTTTCTTTTCCCTGCCAACCTGAAGGCACATTTTCTGTTTTGCTCATATATTGTGCATAAGAAGAATTTCTGTGAACAGAACTGGTGGTAGTATTTACTGTTGTTTAACATAATTAAATACAGTTATGATTAAAATACTATTATTACATAATATTATGTTAATAATAATACATTATTAACATAGTGTAATTAAATTTACAGCTGTCGTTGACATATGCCATTCTTATTTTAACTGGAAGGCTTCATTTTGCGTATCATCCATCCTCAGATGAATTTTTCTTCTGTTTTTCTCCAAAATCAACACGGTAACATAGTGAAAAAAGTAGCCTACGTGATACCCCGTGTCATGATAGTATTTGCCTTGTAGTACAGTCAAAATTAGAAAGTGAGGCCCAGTGATCAGTAAGGCCTGAAAGCGCATCCCATGAGGTTAGTGGCCCTGAGGTTAGTGACGTGAAGGACTTTGTCTGAAGTGTTTCTAAATGTATTGTCACAAAAGTGCGTGCAACTGTGTGGGACATGAACACAGAAGAGAGTTATAATTGTATCACTCTATAGTCATTTGTTCTGCATCCACTGAACACAAATGAGTTGTCTAGGTGCAGCAGGGTGTTGTTTAACAGAATATATGGCCATAGTTTCAACTTTCCACGAAGTAGTGGAAAACCCACCAGTACGCGTTTGTTTTAAGACCGCAGAATTAATCTTGGTAGACTTGCTACTTGTGACAAAAAGAATATTCCTTAATAAGCAGTCTAAAACCTTCGTTTCTTTTTATAAGTCATTGGAAATTGTTTTCTAGCTATTGTTTTTGCAAAGGGTGCAATAAAAAAGGCTTGTGGAAAGGAAATGCTGCATGAAATTACAGTGTCTGAGATCCATTGTTTGACATCCTTGACTGAAAAATTACATGGTATACAGGATACTCTCTGAGTAATAATTTACTTCAAATGAAATGTTGGCTCAAAAGTACTTTGGGGGTATTGGAGCTCTAGATTTTGCTTTTAGAACTAAAGGGAAATTTTCTGTTCCCTGGAGGATACTGACAGTGTCTTTAGACTGACAAAATTTCCAACAGTTTTTAAAATAGCAGCTGAAGCAACCTGTCACAGGAAAGGATGAGAGGTCAGAGCTATGCAGTAGAAATTATTTCTGATATTCTTGGAGCCTCTGCTGGGCTCCTGAATTCAAGCCCTCCCTAATGCTTCTATTAAACATCAGTACGGACTGATAATTTCACTAGCTAGCTGTTCCTTGAGAAGGTCACATAGGTCACATCTTAGTAATTATAGCAGAAGACAGACTAATTTGCCTTCTCCTGAAGCACTGCCCTTGCCACTGCCCACCACGAGCACACTTTTAGGGAAACCAGATGACACCCTTGTCAGCAATACTCGTTCTGCCTTCCAGCTAGCTCGTGCAGTTTCTGATCCCTAGGTACGGTAGGTTTAAGTTACGACTGGGAGATGCTCTGTCACTGCGGTACCAGCCTGTGCGGCCGCTGGTGCATTTCACGGAGAAGAGAAGGCTGATAGGGGCATGATCCAGGTAACATGGGCTTGATTTTTGTTTACAAGTTTGTTACTCAGTTCTTCTGGGTAGCTGTCTTCCCAAGCCTTTTAGCTATGTCCCTGAGCCTCTCTCGGCTCACCTGCGTTTTAGTGCTTTTCTTTCTGGTTTTACCCGGTCTCAGGTGGTACCTCGGCGAAGCGCTGGGGCCAGAGGCGCCGGTGCCCGCGGGATGGGCTGTGCCAACGCTCTGCGCTGCCTGGCAGCAGCGGAACGGCAGGGTCGAGAGCGTGGCTGGAGGCGGCACGTTCCTGAAAGTCACGGCTGGAATATGATTTCTAGAAAGGAGGGCTTTCCAAGGGCAGTCGGCTCGGCCTGTCGTTCAGTCTGCTTTTACAAGAACAAAACCTCTAGGGAGGTGTTGGGTTTTTACCTTTTTCTGACCGAGTGCAACAGCTGGTGAGCACTTGAAATCACGGTAACCCTTAGCAGCCTGTCTCTGGCTGCAGCCTGTTTCCAGGCTTTCCATCCTGCCTCTGAAACTGTGCCTTGCTATTTCTCCTCTTAGCAAATGTTTGAGGTGGTTTCATTTTGTACTGAGAGATGCTGTTCTCTCCTCAGCTCTCGGAAGAAAGCTGAATTTGCATTATCACCACTGGGTGATGGATGCCGGGAGGCAGTGGATTTGAGGTAGGCTGTGGGTAAGGTTGGGCACGTGTCGGTTTTCAGATGTAAAAAATTGGTTTTAAATCTGGCTTGAGTGGCAATCTGGTAAATAGAGGTGATGACGTCTTAGTCTCAGTCGCTTTTCAGAGGTCATGCTGTTTTAAAAGTGGCGTGCTGGTGGTCGTGCATTAATTAATTCCAGTGCAGTTCAATGCTAGGGTTTCGGCTGCGTGCCGCCTTCCCAGGAGGGAAGGGAAGCACTGCCGGGGGGGCACGGCCGCCTTGGGGGAAGCGGGGCTGCGGCGAGCAGGGCCCGAGGATGGTGTGGCTCCA